CGTTTGTCATGTACGTGAAGAGTTTTTTTTTTGGCAGTGTCGTTTGGGTATGGTGGCGCGGTGATGGTTTTGTCCGAGGTGGAAGTTTTTTTGGTTTGTGCACAACGCATTTTTCTCCGGGGTGTTTTTTGTGCGGGATGTTTTCTCTTCTGCATGTTTTTTGTCCGAGGTGTTTTTTTGGGGGGGTGTTTTTTTGCGTACGTGCGTACCTGTAATCTGTGTTTAGATGATGCGTGTTTTTCTAGGGGTGTTCTTTTTCCTTTTTTTTTGTGTGTGTGGGGGATGTGTATCCTATAGCTCAGGTTTGGGTTAGTGTTAATAGTTTTTTTTCTTTAAAACATCATTTTTCGTGGTGGTGAATTGTAGTTGTGGTTTTGGGGCGCGGGTTCAAGAAGTCATTTATAGTTCAAGGCCTATAAATATGTGTGGGATGTATTAGTTAAGTTAATTAGAATTTAGGAAGTATGAATTTCTTTTGTTATTATCAGGGTTACCGGCGTTCGGGACGGGCCGAATGCCCGAACCCGAACGCCCGAAAGTACAGGACCCCTTCGGAAGGGGTTCGGCCGTTCGGCCCGAACGCGGATTAAAAAAAAAAAAAAAAAAAAAAAAAAACGTTTTCAAAAACTTCCGAAAAAAAACAATGTTATGGAGACAAATAAACTAAACACCATTTACTTGGGCACTACATCCAAATTCTTTACCAAATTTGAATTAAAAATCAGAATAAAAAAAATAAACAATATAATAAAAATAAGAAAAAACAAAAAGAGAATTAAAATAAGTGAGTGTGCCAACACCTTTTCGACACCGCCATCTTTGCCGATTTTTAATTAATCTTTGACATTGACAAATGTCGTGAAAATTTAGAAATATGTAGTTTACATAATCAATAACTCAATAAAAAATTTTCAAAAAATAATAATTTTTTTTAGGCCCCGAAATAAAGTGAAAACAAAAAGTTAAAAGTGGAAAAGAAAAATAGTGAATGGGCAAGCACGTTTTGACACCCCCATCTTTGACGATTTTTAATGTTTTTTTGGCTTAGCAGAATGGCTTCAAAATTTATAGGCGTGAAGGTTACATCATAGAGAACTCACAAAAAAAACGCAGAAAAAAAAATTATTTTTTGACCCCGAAACATTTTTTGGCGGGGACCGAACTTGGAGGTGTTCGGCCCCCGAACAGGACCACGAACGCCCGAACGTTCGGGGGCCAGCCCGGGGGCCTCCGAACGTTCGGTCTTGTAACCCTGGTTATTATTATTATTATTATTATTATTTTTCAATCTTATGTATATTTTTTACCTAGGCTACCAAAGTGGCCCGGGTCCACTTGTCCAGCCGGGCAAAAAATAAATAAAAAAATAAAAATATATATATTTTTTAATTTTAAAATTTTATTTTAAATTTGGTAAAGAATTTCGATGTGACCCTGAGACAAAAGTTGTTCAGTTTATTATTTTGCATGAGTTATGTGGAAACATTCATGGAGTTCGAAGTCAAACAAATGTTCGAAATCAAACAGACACGGTCACCGGAATGACGAAGTAGACAAGTAGAACACAGTACACAAAACAGGATTCCTCACTTCATTCCAACAACCCAAGAACCACCTCGTACCGCAAACAACCACGGTGGCCGCCTATCGTCGTCACAATAGACGGGCTAAACCGTGGATCCTGAGAGGATGAACTACGTCTTGAGTCTACCTATTAATAGTGGGAAATGCAAAACTGTCGTGGGCCTATCCGCCTCCTTGAGGTCGGGTGACCCTAGTCAAACAGACCGACAAACCTGCAAATAACAATTGAGAAAAGGCTACACGCCTATTATTTAAAATATCGAACCTACATACTAGTCCTGCTGCTTGGTCCAAACACCTCTGTTGTGCATCCGTTCCCCACAAAAAATGCGAAATACAAAAAACAAACTTACAAGCTGACCAAACAACACAGACCCTGTTCGATGCCCTGAGGCTCAATATACACTGCAGTCTACTAATTCGCCAGTCTCAGACCCTGTTCAATGACCAAACAGCATGGACCCTGTTCGAACCACTGACAGTCACAGACTAATTCGCCAGTCTCAGGCCCAACTGTCATCACATACAAATTTAATGGTACGCTGCCACAAACTATCACGACGACATGCAAACTTCCTAAAAACACGATTAACAAACATCACAGGAAAATCTTTTTTGACCAACTCTTGTTGCAGGCCGAGCACTTTTGCAGGTAGCTCGGTACGGATCGAAGTGTTGCGATCAATCCTATGCAAATAACTCCCGATGACCGCACTGTTTTGCTTCTTGCTGCCCCATGAGAAGTACGACTGTCAAGTCTGAATCCTTAACCTGCTCTTAGTCCAGATACTATCCTCGTTCCTGGATAACTGGACACAACCCAAGAAGGGGAATGACTGCGAAGTCCGTATCTGACATCCCAGGAACTCCGTAGTCCMKGAGCTGTCGTCGGTCYTCTTCAAGGTCAAATTACTCGGGTAACAATTGACGAAACAGTCATAAATGAATTCTCTGGCAGCTTCATTCTTGCACGAGATAACCAAAAGGACGTCGTCAATCAGACGAAGAGCACCSATGCTCAGGTTGGCACGTCCCAAGGTACATGTCAGGCGGTATTCGGCGAAGGCACACATGATGCATGCGATGGGTGGACTCATGCTCTTCCCCATGGGTATCCCCACCTCCTGCTTGAGGAGAACG